GCGAAGTCCTGGTCCCGGGGCTGCGTGCTCCGGTGGCGTCCCTGCAGTGTGGCGCTCCTCCGGTGACGGGAAAAGCGGCTCGATCGGTCTTCTTGGCGGGTGTAAGAGTCACGTCCAACGGCGTGCACGGCCGCGTCGTAGGGTAGAGGAAGTCCTCAATGGCGTGCGCGGCCACTGAGGGGGGAATACGATCAGCAGTGGCCGGCCGTAACAAAAGGGCCATATAATGACCGCAAGCGATTAGTCCTCAGTGCTTACTTAAGCCGTGCGCGGGCTCCAGTGCGCACTGAGGTGGTAGTCCTGAGCGGTGGTGCTAGCCGCTCTTATATAGCGCCAAGAGCCAATCCTGCGCACGAGTGAATGATCGAGTGGTTGGCCATCTCGTGGCGAGCGCGCGGATCACTCCCGTGCGCGGGCCCACAATGTCGGCGCGTGGGAGCGCACGGCGCGCCGGCGCGCTTGTTGTTAGGCCGGAGTGGCAGTGACCGCTACAAGTTTAATATACATTAGAACATTTAAATATTAAATAAAACTTTGTTCACACATCAATTATTTCTTTTATTATAATTCTCCATGCAATTCCTAAGTTGAAATTAAAATTTACTGAGTGGGACGGATCGGAGATTTGTACACGTGAAAATTACTTTCCAAATTTGGAGTTGAACGTATTTTTATTTTGTCAACTTTTTATGACTATAACTTTTTAACAAAGAGCAAGCGACGGCTAAAACTTTTTGAAAGTCATTCAGGATCATGATCTTGACAACATATGTCAAGATCAAGGTCATTGGAGCTGACTTCTCTAAAAGGGAATTTTACTGTAAAATTAAATTAAAATTAAATTTATAATATTTTAATAATGAATTTTCACATTACTCTTGAGATGCTATTATTGATATTTTTTAAATGATTTCTTTAGCAGGCTTATGTTCTTTAGCAGAATTATGTAATTGAATTAAATTATATTTCATTCTAATTTAATTATTTAAAAAATTGCAACAATAATACTTCATGGATGTTGTAGAAATGTATTGTTAACATTTTAATTATTACTGTTATTACATTAAAACTCTGTTATATGATTGTATTATTTTAGAATATCTACAATATATTAATAATAGAAAACTTAATGTCTATTATTTATGAAAATAGAAATTATTTAGAAAGAAAAATATTTTAATGATAATTTTATAAAAAGTATTTAAGTGAAATTCTGTTATTAAATATTCCTGACACAGTGTATAATCGGTGACTCAATCGTTACCTCCAATAATAATGCGACAGAGTAGGAGGGGACGGGAATAGTTGTTATCTGCAAAATTGAGCAAAATTGAGCTTTATCTTCAAAATTGAGCAAAATTGAGCTTTAAAAAAAGCAATTTATTCCACTTTAACACAAGTTTAACAAGACATCTTGTAATACTTTTAAATATCTTTTAGATGGTTAAGATATTACAATGTATTTTAAGTATTTATTTAACAAAATTTTAAGAAAAACCGAAAAAATTTGCTAATGGCAAAATTTACTAAATTTTATATATACACAAAACATACATATTTAGAATTCTAAATATGAAAATAAGAATATAATATAATACAAATATAATATAAATATAAACTAATGTATCCAAAATATTAAATCAAAAAGTTAACTAAATTTTATTAATTAATTTCTATAACATTATGCCTATTATTGCTTTCCAATTATTTCAATCGTTATATATAAATAGTTATAATTGTGTAGTTATCTGGGGGTAAACAAAGGGAAATCCATTTGTAATGTTATACTGATCATTTCAGTATCAGGACCCAAATGTCCCCTACCTATTTTTAAGAAAAAATGAATAGATAAAAAACCAATACAAGAGATTAGTATTCATTTCCTTCCTGCTCGTTTTTGAGAAATATTTTTTACCATAACAATTAAAGACTAAAAAAGTCTTAATCCACAAAGTTACAGCTGCCATATTAATAGTGCACAAACGTTACATTTTTATTAAAAAAGTGAATAAAAAAAAACAAAAAAGCTTATTCAAAATCAGCTCTATCAAAAAACACGTTGAACATGTCGAATGAAACGATTATCCAATTGATAGAAAAAAAGCTGAAGATAAGTGACAATATAAATTTTATTCTATATACAATTCAGAAATGTGTCTATAAGAGAATAAATGAATTGAATATTTTATGGATTACAGTATCCATCACCAAGCACAATCATGAAAAATATAATATTTGGTGAAAAACCACTTTTTAACGAATGCTTTAGTACATTGATTTTTGAAAAATTAAACAATAATCCGGACTTTGTCGGACAGGTATATCAAAATGTCTTCTACGTAACGCTCGTTCTTATAAATTGTTCAACTGATTTATTATAAACCGAGAAATTTTATTTTCAAATTTATTCATTTAATTAATTCATTTAATTCATATTTAATATTAATTAAAATTAAAATCATTTTAATTAATATTAAATTAATTAAAATTAAAATCATTTTAATTAATATTGTTAAAGATAGACTCGATTACGAAGGAGCAGGCAACTTTCGCTGAGCGTAATGTTAAATGCGCATTATGGTTGAAAAATCAAGGAGTATAACGCGGTGATGTCATCGGCGTTTCTATTCCCCATAGTCCCCATATCGATAGTCCAATATCTCTACTGGGATCTCTTTTTACTTGCGCGCAATTCTGTGCCATGCATTACAAACTCAGTATGTTTTTTCATATAAAAATGTTATTATTATATGATTATATATGATTATATTTTTATGGTTATTATATGGTTATTATTTTTTTATAGAAGTTTGTTCACAGAATGATAATTCACATTAATAACGCATTTATTTAAATATTGTTTTTAACATTTCATAATATATGTTATAAAGAGAGGATGCTTGCAATGATGAACTTTGCAAACTTATAGTCCTTGCAAGTATGAATGAACGTTTAACAAAAACAATACGCAAATTAGCCTATCAAAATAAAAAATAGTTGTTTATTGGGAAAAAATTTGCAAATTGGCAATAATAAGTATTTTAAAGACTCTATAAATTATATTTATATTTTTATATTTATATCTTTTGCACATCTTTATTTTACTTAAAGGATTATATGCAGGAATTATATTGCATAGCCCAAAAAACGAAATTTTTGAAAATTTTTTTTAGAAACATTCAAAGATTTTTTTTCGCAGGTAATATAGTATATAATATAGATATAGTATTTAAAAGTACATATATTTTGTAGTTTATACAAATTTTTTCAAAATATATTGAAAAACACGAATAGCAGGCACTCTCGCGAAAGATGTTTTTTTGAAAGTGCTTTGCGGTGAGCACAATTTCTCGAAACTGGATCATATGAAATCAGAAATTCAAAAAGATTTCGTTAGTATATGTTCTAATCTTGTTCTTGAACGATTGATTTTTTTTAAATTTTATTTTGAACAAAATGGTAGTTTTAAATAAAAAAATTATGATTTTTATATGACTAAATTTTTGTTTTAGGTTAATTAAAAACAAAAATTTACATTAAAAATATCAATTATTCAAAGGACAAGTATTTATAAAAAAGAAGTTTGCAAAATTTTAGCCCGAATGCAGCAGTTCCCTTCTTATATATTTTGCTCACCGATTCGTATGTTTGAAAAAAATTTGATTTCAAGAAAAACGCAATTGAAGTTTCAGATTAAGTTGTCACGTAAATAAAATTATGATTGTTTTTCAACTTACACAGAATCATTTATTACAGGCCTATAAAGCCCGTAAATCTTCTGCTGTAGAAACTGTCTCCAAAATATCAATTTACAAAATATCGATTTACATTCCAATTTTACATAGAAGAGATCGCCTTGCCTCGGCAATTACGGCGCGCTACCCGCGATAAGTATTTTGTGCAGCGTACCCTACAAATTCGTATATCTTCGATAATTTTAATTCAAATTACTTTAAACTTTCAGAAAATATTCTTTAGATAGTATAGTTTCCAAAGTAAATATTTTAAAAAATCAATTTTTTTTGACTTATGCATATAACTCCCTTTTAAAATAATATTTTTAATAAAAAAAGTTCATGAAATATGGCTTTCTTCTAGATTTATTTTTAATTAAAATAAATCTAATCGATTAATTAATTTGTTTTTGATTATTGATAATATCAAATTAAACTTATAAATTAAGATTGTGTTTATAATATCATCATATTTATTATTTCTCTTGATCATCACACAGATGATAGTCGATATCCTTCTCTGCTAACCCAAAACCCAAAGTTGTCTTCGTGAATGCTGATATGAATCAAAACTATGGTGAAAGCTGCGGAGGAAAAAGAACTATGTATTATATTTCGTGACTTTCGGTTTTGTCGAAGGATATACAAGGGGATTTTCAGGAGATTATACAGGAAAAGCAGGACGCTGAAATGTTCGATCAATTTCGTTGCACACCAATCTCCAGTTTGGGTGAGGTCGCCTTGCTGGCTTTGTCATCCGGAAGTATTGGATCGTGTAAGCCGACGATGTTGTCGCATCGCGCCATGATTAACAACATGTTTTGCGACCAGTCGTTTGCCGCCGAAGAAATCAAAATGTACACTGTTAGAAAAAAATATGTTGAATTTAACATAAATCGCATGTCCCAAACGGTCCACTCAAAATTTTGTGTTAATTTAACATAATACGGATGTGTTAAATAGTAATACCGACATTATGTTAATATTTCAACAAAAAAGAAATGTACTCTTGATCTTAACTTTGAAGTTAATTGTGTGTTACAATTAACATAATTTTTATGATAAAATAACATGTCGAGACGCGTCAAAATTCGAGACTATGCCGAAAACCACACAAAGAATAATAACAAGTCATCCCCACTCTTGTTATAGAGTTATAAAACCAACATTTTTTTTTGTGTAAATTTTAACATATTGAATAAATACGTACGAATTGTGTTATTTTAATACGTTTCTTAAATCATTTTAATAATTTTACATTTTATATTTGTTAAGGTCAGTTAACATAGTAGACATAGTGTGTTAAATTTACATATAAATATGTAGATTATTTAACACAAAAATTTTAACAAGGACCAATTTTGACACAAATACAAATACAAATACAAATGTTTTTTACTGTGTAGTAATGTGGTACAGTACTATGCGATAGATGGTACTCTTCTATAGATTTATTTTTATAAGACGATTTTTATAAGATTATTTGCGA